ATTTTATCTCTTATTAAAATGCAAACACTTAAAAAACAAGCTTTAGAAAGAAAGAAAGAATACATGATGATCTTATGATGGCTATTGCCACAGAGAGTTGCGAACGGAAGGGCATGAAATCGAATAAACCGTTGCCTCATGTGTTGACTGCCACTCGGTCATCCCTTCGATACACGACTTTTCCTTGGCTCGGTAACCATAATAAATCTGCAAACTCATGTTTTTCTCCAAAAGTCACGGCTTGATCCGCGAAATCCTAATCATTTCTCATAGTATATGTTGATGATCTCTTCAAACATCGGTTGCAATTTAAAAGTCACGTTTTCAAAGAAAAAAAAAAGGTAGACAACCGAAACATTTAATAAAACCGCTTAGAGATATGATAAGAGTTTTTGTGGTAAAACCAAAAATTGAAATTTTAACTAATCCAACCTGAGAGATAACCCCAAGAACACCAAGAGAAACCTTGGCCGCGTTAAACTCGTTAGGAGTTGCGTCGTAGTCTCGCTTAAAACTCTAACCTTTGCAAACCCATCGTTGACCGAGCCAGGACTAACCATCCTGATCTCGGTCACATAATCATGGACCGCACTTCCATTACCCCACAACGAGCTCCCATGAGCACCGGTTCCCATTAGACCACCCACGGTTAGTCCCACCAATACGGTGCATAAGGCAACGCCAATCCAACCATAGCTGCTTCAGCGATTAACTGCCTAAGCGTCATGCCGCTCTCAACCGTCAAGGTCATGGCTCTTGCATCGGCTTGAACCGTGTGGTTTAGAAACTTTGTGCTAATGAGCAAACCGTTGGTTCCGTCCGTGCACGCGAGCTTAGTGATGCTATGGGAATATCGAGTGGTTACACGCATTTTCCGTCCGGCTTTAGTGGCGGCAGCCACGATAGATACGAGCTCGGCTTCGGTTGTTGGGTATGCCACGTTGGCGACTCGACAAGTGGAGCGGTCAGGGAAAGCTCCATATGAGTTTGTAACCGTACAATTCGTATTTCCCGACACACACTTGACAGGATCTTCAGGTGGTGTTAAGACCCCCGTAAGCACAAGTGTAAGTATACAAAGTAACCCGAGAAGGGTGCGCCAAAACGCAGCGTTTTGAAAATCATACGAAGGAGAATAACGACCAAATGCCATAGGTTTTGATTGAGTTTTATTAAATCTTTCTAAATGTATTGCGAAGGGTGGTCTTTGTAAACATGTTTGGTATGTCTAGAGGTTAAGTTGCGTAAAAGGCCGGTTAACTACGATTTAAATAAAAAATTAGGCTAACTTAACTATAAATGTGAATGTTTTTAAATTCGATATAGAGGCTTAACCATATTCTTATCATAGTTGTAATCCCATTGCCACTAGCATCATTTGTTGTTTCTCCTTGTTTTATGAATGTTTTTAGTCAAAAGATTCGTCTCGTCGGCTTATGCAATTTAAAAACAAAAACAGGTGACTTTAAAATCTTATGCAATTTCTTAAAAAAATATATACGCAAAAAATCAACTAGTAATTATCATACAAATTTCGTAGCAGACAAGAACTCAACTGCGGAATATCAAACTTATATAATTACACACATTATTTTGGTTTTACGTACTAAAAGAAACATTAATATAATGAAAAATTTAAAATTTAAAATTTTTGTAAAAATGTCAATTTTTCAAAAAAAAAAAATTTCATTATATCATTTATGTATGGGTTAACTATGTTGTATTAGAATTTAGTTTTGAGGATTTTAGGGATTTTAGGGGTCAAAACATTTTTTAGGATTTATAATTTTAAAATTTAAATTTTAAAAATCTATAATTACTGGCATTTTTTTAAATGAACACTCTTAAATGATATTCTTGCAAATGTACACGTATTTTTGCAATTGTCCATAATATAATTAGCGTTGTAAAAAAACCATCAACTAGCGTTCGGTTTTATTATTAAAAACAAAACATTAGCGTGGAAAACTCTTAGTATTCAAGAAATCAACTCTGGATTGCCTTGACCAATGACCATATCAAACTATATAATTATACAGATAAACATTAGATGGGTACTGGAAAAAAAAAACATTAGATGTGTACTTGGGTTTTGCCCTATTCTTTTAATATAAATTATCATAATTAATTTAACATGCAAATGTTGTTTAGTTAGAGAGATAATATATCTAAAATTAATATAACATTCACAAAAAAAAAAAAAAATAACATTCACATCTATATGAAAACCGGGGTGGCTTGATGTCTAATCGCATCCTAGATTTTTTTTTTTTTAAGATGACGTAGACTCTACTTTGACTTTTTTCTATTTCCTTCACAAGATATTCAACGTTTTTTCCTCGTTAGCTATTTGAGCCGTATATTTTTAAATATCTTAATTGTAATTTTAAACCGTAATATTGA